ATAAATTTTTCATTAAAAATAGAGAAAATTACACAAAATGCTCACTGTATCAATCTTTTTACAATGCAACCATTAAATGCTCACAAAATGAACAATCAGATTTAGGGCTGGTTTTTGAAGAAAATGTTTTTTTTTTTTTTTTTATTCTAAAAGTACTTCAAGTGTTTTTCTAGGTTTTACTTGTATTTTACTAGATATTGATCCCAAAAACATTTTCAAAAAAAAAAAAAAAAAAAAAAAAAAAAAAACTTTCAGTTATTTTAAAAGCACTTCCAAACGAGCTCTTAAACATTGAGATTTAAAGCTACTGCAAGTGTTACTTAGTACTATGGTCTAATAACATTCTTCTTCACTTGTAAGTGAGAGACCTTAGGTTTGATTCTCAGGCGAATTTAAACTGCATTATTGCTAACTCATTGTCTAGCTAAGTCGACATTTTTCCTTCAATGTAGATAATATCATTTGTTCATAAAAAAAGAACACTATTGCAAAATAGATATTTTACGGTTATAAATTGAACCATTCAATACTACGGGAAATTATAACCACACCCTTTTATATGCAAAGCCAATTAACGTACAAACAAAATTTCAATTCAATTATGCAGCTTAAAAAAATTGTTTTTACAAAATCTTTTCATCACTTGCCATACGTGTATCACTTCCACGCTCACTAGTATTTACACATTTTTTAATTTTTCTTTCAGCTATCTCTTTGTAAATTAAAAACAGAAACAAAATTTCTCATATCAAATCAACTATCCTTGCTTCATTTCAGCAGGGGGCATAAAGCTCTCCATTGTCAAACCCCATATATTAAAATCCACCTCATCAATCTTCCACGTTTCCTCCATCTCCCTCTTGTGGTTTGCAGATTGCTCACCATATCTGAACACCTTAACCCTAGTCCTCCCACTATGAGCAATGTTGATGCCGTCGACGTACTTGTAATCTTGTATGACCGACTCGGTGCTCGTCTCCCAAAACACATCCGTGTCGTCCCCTTTGTTTTTCATGCTAAGTAGCCTTGAGTCCTCAAATTTCACCAGTAGACCCGATCGCTGGCTAAAATATCCCCATATTGTGTGGTGAATTATCTCATAGTTTGGACCACTCTGTGCCTCACGAATTGCTGGACTCGTTTCTAGCTTGAGGATGAAGCAATCGTCGTCGTGGATGATCTTCTCACCGATGCACATTGCATCTGCGAATAGATTGGCCGTGGCCCTTGGGTCTAAACCCTGCATATGTTCACGTCGAATCAGTTCTCAATGCGATGAAATTAGTTACCCTACTGAACAGTTTTTAAGAAATGTAGCAAAAACAAATATTTAAGAAGAAAATCTTCACACATTTACTCACCACTACGTCTGTCAATGGGATCCCACTTGTATTGACAAATTAATTCTATCAGATATGTGGATCTATTTAGTATAGATTTTGTTTTGTTACATTATAGAATTTGAATCCTAAACCTAGCTAGCCTGCTTATACCACGTCACTAGGCTAATTCCATTTGCTTATATAATACAAATTTTGAGGTACGGATTCAAGAATAGTTTTATGCACTTTAATTGAGATTCTGTGGCGGATTCACATACGCGAGTGGCATGTCTGTTTGAGACGAATTTCCGTAAATGTGGTGCAAATAGTTTTGTTCTCGTTCCTACAAGAAATCAGAATATGTTGAAGAATATATGTATATGTACCTGTAGAAAACGGCGCAAAGGTCTAGGTGGGCCTTGAGAGACGGCTGTTTGTTGGTTAGAGGAATGCCTCCATGAAAGCTTGCCATTGCTTCCACAGATAACCTTGCAGCCAGACACAACAAGCTCTAAGCACCACAAGTCCGGATCCTTTTGCCACAGCACGAAACCACCCCTCTCGGCTGAGCTCCTTTTCACCTCAACGCTCACGTCCCCTTGGTGAAAATCCGATGCACTGATCTTTACCTCGCCAGTCACACACATGCTGGTCACCGAGTTCAGTGCTGGTTGCCCTCCGGTTGCTGCTGTGTACTGTTGCACGATGTATTTGGCTGTTGAAGCTTGCTGTAACATATTGAGTAGAATTATTGTGATTATTTCAAGCATAGGAAGTGATCTTCAGATTCTTATTATTGTGTTGGAACTATTGCACGATGTATTTGAATGTTGATTCTTTCTTTATTTATTTACAATACGTATATTCTCTTTAGGTATTCATTCGAACGAATTGTCTCAACTCGTATTAGTTAGAGAATTTGTCAATAATATTAATGTAATAAGTAAAGGTGGTGGATGCCTTATAACCATGCATTTTCAGCAACAACAATAGAAATCCGTAACAAAGTATAAGAAATTAATGACTATGAAAAGGATCGATGATTCTTACGATGGAAGAATCTCTAACTGGACGATGGACGGAATGTCCCAATTGAACTTGAAGAGGGATGAGAGGAGAGCCAACAAGGTAAAGCAAGAACCGCAGCTCGTTTAAGCGTCCAGCGATGACCGGCGCAGACCATTTGTCGGAAGTTTGAGCCTTCATCCACGTTAACATGTTCTGCCATCGCAAATGCACATTGCTTCCCATACTCGTGAACATCTCTTCTGGTATGGGGACCTCAAGAACCGTCTCGAGGCCATCTTCTTTATCAATATTTGGACAAAGCTTCCTCATGTGTATTACGATCTCATAAAAGAGAGAAGGGAAAAGGAAGAAAAAAAGAGAGAGACTTAGAGTCAAAGGGCTTAATTAAAACGCCTTGCTCTCCTTCCTCAAACCTGATGAGGGAAAAGAGGGAACTAAGTGGAGAGAGTGGAGATGGTGAGAGGATGGGAGTGGATGTGAATTTGCCAGAGGTTCTCCTTGCTTGTAGGTGTCATGTGGGCAAGATTAGATGGATTTGATTTGTTAACTTTCTATTTTAGGTGCATAGTTAAGCTAAATTGAATAACAAATAATTGTATTCTTACTAGTCAGAAAATTCGCATTGCTATAGTCTAACATGTTCACTTGAACAATTGTATATCTGTGTCTTTAAATCCTTCAAATTACAAAACCATTCTCGTCTCATTTTAATAGAAGTAAATAATTATGAGGTGACAATAAATTATTGACATACATACAAAGCTTCACCTAATTTTCTGTTCAAATTATAAAAAAATTTATCCAAAATGATTCCTGAAACTACCATGACTCATCACAGTGACTCCTGCGATTTTAAATCAATAGAGGTGATCCCTGAGATTATTCACCGTCACTCATTTTGATCTTTTTGTGAAAAATTTTCGTTAAATTAAGGATATTTTTGTCAAATTAACACTTCCCTTTGAAATGATGATTTTTTCAATTTAATGAAGATTGTTCACAAAATGACCGATTGACATAGAACAATCTCAAAAATTATTTTGGCTAAAAAGCCAAATTTATATGGCAAATTGCTATCCATTGCTTTTTTTACTGCATTCCAACACCATTTGCAACGTCAAATTTAGAATCATCATCACAAGTGTTTCTACAGAAAAGCATTTCCATCATCACAAGTGTTTCTACAGGGAAGGATTGTGGCAGTTTCTTCTCTTTTCGTTATGCTTTTTCCTTTGTACTTTTTCTACTGTGTTTTCCCTTTTTTCTATCAATCATGTTTAGTCTATTCTCTACAATCCTTTGGCATCCCTTTTTCCGAGTCATTTTCAATTTGATTTGTAGCCACTCTTCATCTCAATTCGTTGCTATTTATCGAGTCGGTGTGTCAAATTTCGGTGTTTTTCACTGATTCGGATGTCATCTACACCATCACCTTCTCTCTCTGCGCCTTTGGTAGCGTTGCATGTGGATCTCCATAGGCTTCATGGCTGGTTTTTTTCCTGCTTGTGGTTACGATTGAAGAGATGTTCTTGGCCGCTGGAGGCGATTGGGGTGGGGATGCTTTGTCGGAAGCATGGAATCGGGCTAGACTAGATTTTTTGGTGTGGAAACAACTGTAGCAAAGTTGTAGGTTGTTCTCGGTTTTTTCTGGTTTGGGCTCAACCTTTGGTTGGGCTTTTTCTGCTTTTTGGGCTAGTCCTTTTTGGTTTGTATATTTTGTCTGTGGGCCAGGGATTTGTAAGTTTGTGTTATTTGTTTAATAAAGGTTTTTTATTTTAGTTGACCAAAAAACAGATCTTCGTTTGGTCTCTTCCCTGACATGCAAAAATAGAAAGAGAAAAAAAAAAAACCGAAGGCCCAAGCGACCAGAAAAATGCCTGCAAACATAATGAAGGAAATTGAGATTTCTTCGCCGTAAAATTCATTGAAAATATGAAAAGTAAACAACTACTTATAAGGCTATAAGCAATGTAAGATCCATTCTCTTTTGACGTGGATTTTTCTCTAACACTTTCATGTCAAATTTTCAAGCTGACCACATAGACAATACTAATCGGATGATGTGGAGTATGTGTAGCCATTGGGTTTCATACATGGAACAACATGTTCTGAGACCATGAAGAAAGTTGAGGTTCCACCATAAAACTAATTGACAATACTATGAGAAACTCAACTATTTATAAACACATGTAAGATTTTTTTTTCTCAATGCAGGATTTCTCTCAACACATACCAATAATATCTCTCTCCTATATACAGTAGTTAATTTATTTTGTTTGAATTGTCATCCCAAAAAATAAAGCAAGGTGAATTACGGAATTTGGCCTTTAATCTAGTAGTGCGAATTGGAATCTTTTGCTATATAAGCAAAGATTGTAATCACCTCATAATTAAGCTTTTGAATACAACATAAATAAAATCTCTTTCACTACATCATTGCAATTGGTAAAAGCATAACATAATCAATACATTAAATATACTAATTAATGAATAACTGTAGGTAAGTGGTGGATTGACTTAGTGTATAGGGGCTTTTTTTTTTTCAATTCACTGTGCTCTGGGTTGAAGTTCTCTCCGTCGCTTTAGTCTAGTAACATAATAATATTGCTTGTAATAAAAAAAACCCGACAATTATAGATCTTGATAATGTATTGACACACACACATTCCAAATTCCAAGTTCCACTAATTTTATCCCCAAACTAGTCATGTTCTACACATTACTTCTTGAACACATTCATACAGTATCATTTCTAGACCTACTAGCATCACTAGTTTTGCTGAAAACCATTTCCATCTCTTCCAAGGATCTTCCCTTGGTCTCTGGCAAGAAGAAAAAGAAAAATATCCAGGCTAAAACAGCTATGCCTGCAAACATAAAGAAGGCCCCTCCAATTGTAATTGCCTTGTAAATTGAAATGAAGCTCATAGAAACTGTTGCATTCATAAGCCTATTCACAGCCACCCCAATACTGGAACCTTGTGCCCTAAGCTTCAAAGGAAAAATCTCAGTACTGTAAACCCATGTTATGGGCCCCAGCCCAATTGAGAAGAATGCCACAAACACATATACTGCCACAATACTGAAGCTTAGAGCCCAAGTCAGCTTCTCTTTGGAGTGCTCAGCCATGGTCAAACCAAACCCTAAACCTGTTAGGGCTATAATCATGCCACCAGTGCTGGTCAACAGTAGGCGCCTTCTCCCAGCTTTGTCAAGGAACAGTGTGGCTACACATATAAACACAGTTTTTGTGAGTCCAACTCCAACTGTGGCAAGCAATAACTTGTCTTTGCCAATGATCCCAGCTTTTTTGAATATTCTTGGACTATATAACACAACAGCTTCTATCCCCGTCGCATGCTCAAAAAAGTGGATTCCAATCGCTGCAATTAAAATCCGGCGGACGGCGGGCGTTGGCCTCAAAAATAGTTCTTTCCAAACCCCTTCACCCCTAGTGGTGTTACTGACCTTCACCACATCTTCGTTGCAATTTTTGTTGATTCCAGCAGCAACCAAGATATCGCGAAAACGGTGCTCAGCTTCTTGTTTGGAATTAGAAACTAGTAACAAAGTTTTCTTGGCTTCTGCTAGCCTACCTTGCATCACCAACCATCTTGGGGACTCGGGCATTTTGAGAATCCCAAAAGCTAAGACAATTGAAGGAAGTCCAGCAACTCCTAGCATCAATCTCCATCCGAGTTTCAAAGTGAATTTTCCAAACAAATAATTTGATACATACCCTAGTAAGATTCCAAGACTTATGCAAAGCTCTGGGAGCGCGGTTAGACGGCCTCTTGATTTGGCAGATGAAATTTCTGCAGAGTAAACTGGAGCAATCATTAGTGCAAAACCTACACCGACGCCAGCAGTGCACCTCCCAGTCATTAGGACTGCATAGTTTGGACCATACCCCATTAGCACTGCACCTATTAAGAAAATAATGGAGGCTAGAACAATAGTGTAACGCCGACCGATGTAATCAGATGTTCTTCCAGCGGCTAGGGATCCCACTAGAGCACAAATGTTTAGTATTCCTGCAAGTACTTCAACTTGTACATCGTTGATTTTGAGGTCTTCCTTGATGAAGATCATGGCTCCACTCATCACACCAGTATCTAGATTGAGAAAGAAATTGGTTTTCATGATTACCACATTCATAAATTGTTGGATCATGCGTTCTTGTTTAATTAAAATATAATTAAGGGAAAACCAAATTGTTTACAAGCCAATTGATCTAATTAAGGGGGGTATTGAACTACAAACATAACAGATTAAAAGAAAATTGTGAAATGTAGCATACCATAGCCAAATATAATGGATATAATGGAGGCTACCACAGCACAAGCACAAGCAATCTTGTTGATCCTTTCCGGTGTTTCGCAGCTTTCACCACTGCCCTCCACCTCCATCGGGGATGTAGTAGTATTCTTCGGCATAGCTGCGCTCGTCTGAGTATTCTAGCTTGTAGTGTGTGTTCGTCACAATCTATATCTAGGTACCACTAACCAATATTATGTCTCTCTTCTATAACAATTATTCTTCACTAGGAATCATTCATGAATAAGATTGGGATACCGTGTATGAAACTTTCCCTGGATAATATAATATCGTCAATTGGATATAAAATCTCGGATGCATGAACACACAAAGAAATTTTAGGAAGGATGGACAGGAGAAACTTATGTGTCACTCTGGCTACACAGATTAGCTTTATATAGGAATATAATAGGCCAAGTTTGGAATTCATGCAATAAAGAGTATTTTAAAGGTAGGAACAATATTGGAAACACCATGTGGGAAATGGATAGCCTTCAGTATGCCAGCAAAATCGTGACAAACTTGAATTGATAAACTGGTATGTATTTCTCTCAGTTAGTGTGATAAAAGCACGCTTTAAATTAAAACCAAATATGTTCAAAGTTAGGCCGCTTTTGCTAGTAGTTTTCACTTTCAGAAGCATGATCATTAAACCACGACGAGGAAAATGCCTAGTTGAACAAAAATACTTACAGCGCATTGATAGGTCACTTGTTTAGTCGGCCAAATCCACCGGCTTGATGTGCCATTGACCAAGGCAGCTTTAGATTCTAATACGGACATTTGGAAAAAGAGAAAAACACAAGATCTTAGTTATAAATTTGGATAAGAACTCTTGGTAGGATCGAATAAGTTGGTATTTCAAATTTGTGGTACTAAGGATTGAATTGTTTAATATGTAAAAAGTGTAACAGAAAAGTACCTGGAAGATTAGCACCATCCATGCATTATTGCGAGTAACGTGGGAAATTAGAACCGCTTTCACTTATGGCATACAATAATATACTATAGAGTACCAGCTGTGGTACTAACTTATCAAGTGGGTTGGGCGGTGAAATAGCTAGGCTATAGTGTTTTTTGTTGTGTCACGCATTATCAAATTTTGTTTATACACATGCAAAAAGAACAGAAAATCGGATATAATTCTAGGATTATTATTTAGGAATAATCCGGATTTGCTATATTCCATTTAGGTCTAACTTTCTTTCCAATTTAACAATTTTCCGTTTTCAGCGGATGAAGCAACCTATTTTTTTTGTCTGGATAAGAGTTAAAATGTTTTTTTTATAAGACATTTAAATTGAAGACGAATTAATTGTAAAATAAAATTTTGATTCAATTTACCTTAGTTTTCAAGTATTTTCAGTTTCCATCTAAGGTTGCTAATTTTGAATAATATGTCATCGTGTAACTCTTTTGGATGTGATCTTGTAACTCTTGTGATTCGTCTCCATCTATTTGGTTTTTCACTCACCTCTTAGAGATTTTTAGTTTGTTGCACCAGGTTCAATTTAGCCTTAAAATTATCTCTAATTCCTAACCCTAACAACTGTTTAGATCTCCTTCCTTTATGCATGACACAAGTGCTCTCCTCTACCCTCCCAGTCCACAAATCCTCCATTTGTTTGCTAGATGTTTGCTTTCAATTGAGAAGTCTCTTCTGGCCCTTGTATTTGCTACCCACCTCGAGAGCGAGTCATCACTCACTCTAATGAAGGTGTGCAAAACCGATCAATTTGAGCTGGTTGGGTCTCTGCGCTGCCTCCTATGGTTTTGATGGTGTTTAATTTCTTGCCTTGTTGGCATCAGAAGTTTTCTCTTGTTGTTCCTCAGGTGGTGGATATGGTTGGTGGTATTGGCTGCTCATTTCATTTGTTGTGTATCTTAGAGGTAAATTTGTGTATTATTTGTGCATCTTTGTTGTTGTGAAAATAGGGATTACATTTGTTCTTCATTTGAGACTTATTTGCAATTGTGGTATTAATTTATGGCCTTTGTGTTTTGTTGGTACTGATCGTGTATCAACATGACCTGAACGACGAATTTGTGAGGTACATAGTGGTTGTGGCGAGGACAACTTCCGTCAACCGACGGAACCTAATTGAGTCATCATGTGCTTTGCTTGGGCTTCTTTGTCCACTTGGCCTACTAGCAGCTTTTCTTTAAGCTTATCTCATTTAACATTTTCATGTTCAACAAAAAAAAAAACTCTTGTTTTGATGCAGAGGGATCTTAATCTTCGTCAACGGAGATGGTTGGAACTGCTTAGTGATTATGATTGCACGATTGATTATCACCCTGGTCGTGCGAATGTGGTAGCTGATGCACTTAGCTCCTATTTTTTCTAAATTGTAGCCTTTCAAAAATTTTCTACAAGAGTTTATACTTCCTCATAAACAGGAAGGTGAGAATCGAACAACACTCACCCAAGTTTTTATTATAATGATTAATGAAGACTTACCCATAAACTATACCATAATTTTGTAGAACAGAGAGAGGAAAAAAAAAACAAGGTATTTAGAGCTTGATCAAATCTGTTGAACTAGTTTTTTAATCCCGCAAATCAAACCTATTGAACAATGTGACAGTAATATATATCATGTGTCAAAAAGCACGACAAAAGATATATGGTAATTAGGTAAGATGTCATTTGACTGATCAAACCAGGAAATTAGTTGCAAACTTGACCAATAATCTTGTTCCAGTTTTATGTAGCACCAATAAACTTGACCAATAAGGCAATAACGTTCTGTATTTTGTTCAAAGTTTCCGACCGAGCAAACGATGTGCAATATAAACGAGAATAGCTTAAAATTGATATGAGTTGAGATTTGGGCCCACAGACAACATGTCTTAAGATATGGTCTGTCATGTATATTAGCCCAAATGTAGAAGAGACAAAAATTAAAGTAAGCTCAAACTTTTTACGAGGGGAAGTTTTCCAGTGTGAATATTGTGCAATCACGTAATATTATCCGTATATTGTTGTTGTTTATTTTATCTAGCAGGGAGAGAGAGGGTTAGCGGCAGAGAAAGTGATTGTATAGAGATGTGTTTGTAGGAATGTAGGGGAATGTGGTTTTATTCCTCCTACGTAGTGCCTTTATTTATAGTAATAAGGGAGAGAAGAAATCCTTCATCCCCAAGGAATAGAAGTCATAATAGGAAAGGATAACTAGAATCAAATCTAATCTAGGATTTACACAATCACACTTTAATAGGAAGTTTACAACACTCCCCCTTGAGTGTATAAATACTCAAGGTAGATTCAGCATCATGTAGAAGTTGAGAAAGTCGACTCGTCAAAACTGATTCTAAGGAACACGTTATTCTCAATAAGGTAGGAACTTGCATAAGGAAGTAAGTCTAACAAAAAACCTTAAGGCTAAGGCAAAAACCTGAGTAGAGACAAAATCCATAGTCTAAGGAAAAATGCGTGAGTAATGCAAAGTCCAAAGAAACGTCTACGAGACATCATCAGGTATATGATCAACCCAAGGTGGGTGCCTTGTTAAAACCTAGTTAGATAGTAAAAACCCAGTGGGAAAATGATCCTAATCGTAGGGAAAAAGAGTACATTAAGATCAAGCAAGTATACTTCAGGATACTCCCCATAAGTTTGACACAATTCCAAAGAGAACTAGCTATGTTACAACTCAGAAAGTTTACGCATACCTATTCCTTGAACAAGCTTCTGAAACGTCGTCTTTGACAGTGATTTGGTGAAGAGGTCGACCATATTGTCTTGTGAACGGATTTGCGTGACTTCAATCTTCTGATGCTCTTGTTGTTGATGTGAGAAGAAGAACTTCGGCGCAATGTGCTTGGTGTTGTCTCCTTTGATGTAACCCTTTTTGAGCTGTTCGATGCATGCTGCATTATCTTCATAAACCGTCGTAGGGACATCAATGACGGGATAAAGATCGCAGAAGCTTCAAATATGGCCCACAACTGCTCTCAACCAAAAGTATTCTCAAGTTGTTTCATGTAAGGCGAGAATTTCAGCATGGTTAGACGAAGTGGCAACTAAGGTCTATTTAGTTGACTCTAAGATATTGCGATGCTTTCAATGGTAAAGACATAACCCGTTTGACAACGCACCTTGTACGGATCAGATAAGTATCATGCGTCGGCATAACTAACAAGGCAAAAATTGACTCGAGAAGCACGCCCGGGGTAGGGTGTGAGGCATCACTCGAGGATTTGTAGGGATAAAATAAACCAAAATCCATAGTACCCTTAAGGTAACGAAAGATATCTTTAACACTAGTCTAGTGTCTGCGTGTTAGTGCATTACTATATCTTATCAAAAGATTAACAGGGAAGGAGATGTCGAGTCTAGTGCATTGAGCTAAGTACAATAAAGCGCCTATCGCACTTAGATAAGGAACTTCAGGCTCCAAAATATCTTCATTATCTTTCTTTGGTTGGAAGGGATCTTGTTTTGCATCTAGTGATCCAACAATCATAGGAGTACTCGAAAGCTTTGCTTTATCCTCATTAAAGAGATGTAACACCTTCTGGGTGTAGTTCAATTGATGAACTAAGATTCCATCCAAACGATGCTCTATCTCAAGACCGAGACAATATCGAGCCTTTCCTAGATCTTTCATCTCAAATTCCGACTTCAGGTGCGCGGTAGTTCTCGCGAGCTCTTCAGGAGTTCCGATGAGATTTATGTCATCAACATATACTGCAACTATTGCAAAACCGGAATGTGACTTCTTAATGAACACATAAGGGCATAGTTTGTTGTTCACTTATCCCTGACTAGTCAAATACTCACTCAGACGGTTATACCACATTTTTCTGGATTGCTTCAAACTATAAAGTGAACGCTTCAGCCGAATTGAGAACGTGTTTTGGGGTTTGGAAATATTTGATCCAGTCAATGTAAGTTCTTCGGGAACTTTCATATAAATTTTCGTATCAATATGCCCATAGAGATACGCAGTTACTACGTCCATTAGCTGCATACTCAGTTTTTCAAAAACGACCAAACTGATAAGGGAGCTAAAAGTAATCACATTCATAACGGGTGATTAAGTTTCGTCATAATCAATCCCGAGGCATTGTGAGAAGCCTTGTACAACAAGACAAGCTTTGTAATGCACAATTTTGTTCTTCTCATTACACTTCTGAACGAAAACCCACTTGTAGCCAACGAGCTTCACTTGTGGAGAGGTATGAGCTATAGGTCCAAAAACCTTATGTTTCACAAGAGAATAAAGTTCGACTTGAATTGCTTGTTTCCAGTTTGACCAATCAGTTCTACGTCGACATTCATCAACGGAACGGGGTTCAATGTCATCCCTCAACATACTCTTAGTAGTTACTGCATATGCTAATGCATCGTCTACGATCATCTCATTTCTACACCATACATCATCTAAGC